AATGGGCGATTTCTTCAGCCTTGATACTGGTACATCCTCCCAGACCATTTTTAATCGCACTCCAGCTGACCAAATAGCCACCGACTTCAACATGCCCTTTGCGGCCACCCATAACTACAACTGGTTGTTCGACGTCGCCTCACTGGACGACGCATTCCCTCCCTTCGACCTCCCACTAGGTCCAGACATGGTCACCTTCGCCGAGGATGCCCTTCCCATCGATGATCCAAAATCATATCTCGACCGTGACGGTTCCTCCGTCCTCCTCCAAGCAGCCTCCTTCGTCGAACGCAGCGACCCGCTCGTCTTCTCCGCGCCCACCATCGACCCCCAACCAGACGCCATCAACCTCGACTGGATGGACGCACCCTCCCTCCTTCAAACCAACCCCAAACCCCACCTCCCCATCCTCACCGAAGAAGCCCGTCAAGGCATCCTCAACCTCATCGCCCAAGCCCCACCCCTGACCATCGACGGCCAACCCACCCCACTCGAGTCCCCTCTCCTCTCCCTCCCCTCCCTCCAATCCTACAGTGACCTCTTCTTCACGCGCTTCAACATAACATACCCCCTCCTGCACCAACCCACCTTCTGCCCATCCACCACCACCCCGGTCCTCCTCGCCGCCATCCTCTCCATGGGCGCCACCTACAGCAGCCGCGAAGCGCACCAACTCGCCGTAGGCATTCACGACTCCCTGCGGAACCAACTCTTCTGCCACGCCGACTTCTCCCCGCAGCCAGACCTCTGGGTTTTACAAGCCATGCTCCTAATCGACTGCTTCGGGAAGATGCGCGCGGGGCCGAAACAGCGCGAACGCGCCCAGCTCTTCCACTGCGTCTTGATCAAGCTCATCCGGCGAAGCGACTGCTGCGCTATTCGCCAGACACCCAACCCCACCACTGCCACTACAGATACAGATATCGACACCCTCTGGCGCACCGCCATGCACGACGAGCAGAAAAAGCGCGTCGCCCTGCACTGCTTCATGTGGGATACACAGCACGCTGTCCTCTTCTCCCAGTCCCTATGCATGTCCGCGTTCGAAATCAGATCCGCGCTGCCCTGTTCCCAGAGCTCATGGGAAGCGTGCACGGCGAGTGACTGGGCGCATCATGCATATATGGAACCTCCCCCGAGGATGTTCCTCTCTGTGCTGAAGGGGTACATCACCCCGTCTGCGATGGCCCGGCCACGCGATCTGAATACCCTTGCCAGGATCGTCGTCCTGCACGGACTCATGTCCGTTTCAGCGGACTTGAAGAGACGGGACCAGACGACGTTACGCGCTGAGACGCCCGAGCGAGTCGGTGCGTGGACACGTCGCATGGGGAGGTCGTATGATCTGTGGAAAGTAGACTTCGATGCTGATTGCCTGGCAATGAAATTGAACTTCGGACAACATCCCGGGGAGGGTGTCGCTGGGTCAAGACGAGGTGGAGCGGGAGGGGTGTTCACGGGGCTGAAGATGGCGGCGTGTGCGTTGTATCGTGCAGCGTGGTTGGCGCTGCAGGTAGAGATACTCGACTTGCAGGTTGCTGCTGGGGCGGGGAGGATCCTGGGGAGGACAGTGACGGAGGGGGATCGGGAGAGGTCGCGACGGGGGTTGAGGAAGTGGTTACTTGGTGGTGGGGAGGGGGCATTAGGGGCTGCGAGACAGGCGGCGAAGTTGTTGGAGGAGGCGGTGATGAGTCTGCATGATTGGGAGCAGACGGATGCGTTTCATTTCCCGTGGTGTTTGTATTTGGCGACTTTGACTTGTTGGGCGTTTCATGGTGGGGTGAATGGAGATGGTGACGGTGGTGGCAGTGGTAGTGGGGAGAGGGTAACGACGGATCTGGCGAGTTTGATCGTGGCCATGACGACGTGTGGCAGTTTGGGAGATATGGCAGCGCTCGGGGGAAAGTATGATACGAGGGGGTTGGTGAGGACGATGGCGCAGCAGTTGGCGACGGTGAGGTGGGCGGTGGTGCATGATGCGATGAAAGTGTTGGTGAATCTGGGGAATTGATTGTGGTTCTCTAATCTATATGTCATGTCAAAGATTTATGTAGGTCAACTATTCAAGCTTGAACCCTTGCTTCTCGATAACCTTCCGAATGTTCACCCACCATCCCTGCGCTTGCGATGCAACCCTGCCGGCAACGAACTCGCCCCAGGCCTTCCTCCCAAGCTTTAACTCTTCTTCATAGAACGTCCCCAGTGCCTTATCATACGATGCAACATTATCCTTCTGCCCCTCCTCGTTCCACCGCTCCATATGAAGTACCTCTCGCATCGGCAAGCGCGGTTTGATCCGCCTACCAGAGCGCCTGTTCTCTGTATCCGGATACCCAACGGCCATTCCAAACACGCCCCACGTCAACGGCGGCAGGTTCAGCAGTTTACAGACCTCATCTGCATTGTGCCTGAGCGCACCCACATAGCAGATTCCCAGACCTAGTGATTCAGCCGCAATGGCAACGTTCTGCGCCGCGATGGCTGAATCCACCGTGCTCATGATGAACATATTCATGTTATCCAACACAGGAGAATCCTGGTGACCATACTGCTCTGACAGGTTCTTGAGACGGCGCAGGTTCGGGCAGAATACCAGAAATAACGGAGCTTGGCGGATGAAGTCTTGGTCGGCTGCCAGCGTTGCGATGTTGGATTTATGCTCCGGGTCTTGGATGGCGATGATGTCCCATGTCTGGAGGAGGGAGGAGGTCGAGCCGCTTTGAGCTGCTGTGATGAGAGTTTCTAGTGTTCCTTCAGGGAGCTTGAAAGGGAGGAATGCACGGCAGGATCGGTGGGAGAGGATTGTTGACAGGGGGCTGGGGAGAGAGTTCGAGGGGTCGGTTGGGAGAGGGAAGGTGGAGGATTCTGAATCGCGGTAGCGCGCTTCGGCGAGGGGTGAGATTGTCTTGGTCATTTTGAGAATTCTTGTAATATAGCTTTAAGAGAAAAAAAACGGGAAAAAAAAATTAAAAAATAGAAGGTTATGGTAAGAGGGAGGAGGGCGGTAATGGGGCCATCTTTATAGAGCTTTGAGTAAACCCCTGCAGTGTCTTCTATTCAGTGGATACCAAGAGTATGCTGCAAGATGCTGTGGGGGGGCGCGCAAATATCCGTGATTGGTGGGCTGTTGTTATGTGGGCCTGTTGGGCCATTTGTCGCCCAATCACAACACAATATCTTCAAAATTCGGTCCATCGGCTCAAGGCTGTCGATTGATGGTCTCAAAGAGCTGCGAATCACGGTCTTGTTCGGATAGATAATTTCTGAGGTTGAAATCACCCCTGATCCAGCAGAAGCTGGAGTCCAATAAGACTGACTTGTGGTTCTTCCGGTGCAGGACTGACGGCTGTCCAGACTCTGTCTAATTTGCTCTGTACCCAAGCTGCATGTCCACCTAGCTTTGCAGCAGATATCGAGGCGATAACCTCTCGGACAACTTCCCTCTCCTCGAGCCTTACGGAAACAGCCCCGAGAATAGCCACGGGCCATAGCAGATAAATTGGCGGGTAAATGTCTATCTCCAACGCAGGTACCCTGTGTAAACCCCCTGCTAGACATGATTGCACTCGCTGGATTCGCTGACTGGAGGTAATGTTTGGATTCACCCTTTGGAGTAGAATCTGAAGTGCTAGGTAGCATAGCGCGAGAGACATGTCGGCTGAACAGATGAGGTGACTCCAGTGCGACAATTCACAATCTAGACTTCGCCACTTCGTCACTTCCGCGCTATCAAGCGGTCTTGATAGCCGAGACAATTTCGTCACGTCCGCAATAAGAAGAAAGAACTTGTAAGAGGCCTGCAGAATAGTCTGTTCAGAGGCAGAGGCTGGGCTTGTAGGCTTATCAAAATAAAGAGGGAGCCCCAGCTGCTTCCGATCCTCTGGGAGCGCATCAAGTGATGGGTCAAAAATCATCATGAGGCATGCTTGGTATAAGAATGACTCGACGCAGATGCGATCAAACGTGGCCGCAGCCTTCGTGCGATATTCGCATGGTCGGCGTTGGGTAAGTAGGAGGCCCGCGGCTTTGACATGCGGCGCGACAGTGGGTATGGCATCTGATCGGCAGGACTACAGTGGTATAGGTTAGCTTGCGTACATGAGAATTTTAAAAATCGGATACATGCCTCGAAACAGGCGAGCAGGGACACAGTTGCCAGAATCCGATCGTCACAGCCAGCTTTGGTAATATCAGTTAGTGATATCTGAATGGCATGGATCGCATGCAGATAGCTCTGAAGGGCAAGGTGGGCCGGCCACCGGTCTTTGGTCGGCAGCTGCATTCCGGCCACAGCGACCATTGCCCCAAAAAGAGGAGAGAATTGGGGTGCGAGGCGGAGCATGTGTGTTTTGTCTACCGAGTTGCGTTGTACAAAACGGGGTAAAATCGTGGAGGCAAAATATCGATATAGGTAGGTGCACTCGGATGATGAGAATGGTACCGGCATCATGATGAATGGAGGGAGTTGCGGTTGCAATAGCGATACTCCTGATGACGCTACTGCGCGCATAATGGCCTTCGTACCCCGGGAATGCCGGGATCTGCCATCTGGGAGCTGATTATCCTCCGAGGGCCACTTGCAGTCCAGCGAGTTTCGAATGCATGCGCTGCAATGCGGATGAGTCTCATCGCATTTCTTGCGACGCTTTCGACCTATATATGGTTGGTGAACAAGAGCCGATTTTAGCATGCACAGAACTTGGCTTACATGGGAAGCAGCCAGTTCGGGTTCGCAGTGTGGCGGGAGGCATTACAGCGCGCGGTGCAAGTTACACTGTGTAGCGTCCATTCAACCTTCAGATAGGTCTGGGGGTTAGGCAAGATATGTGGTTTCCTTGGATGTCAAATGACTGTGTCATCACAATTACCGTTAAGTCTGAAAGCAGTGGAGGGAAGTATTTTGGAAATTAGTACCTAAAGGACGATTGCGAAGGATATTAGTAATCCGAACATATCCATGGCTTCTGTTCGCTGCTTCGGACATTAAAGTTTAAAGAAGCTCAGGCGTCCTTCGGCAGAAAGGGCCATCGTTTCGTGGCTTCTTCCGCCGAGATTTCCTCGCTCATTGTGTCGATGAACATGTTATACAGGTATTTGTTCATTTTATTCACCGATACCCAGTCTTCGGAATGGATCCATCCACTATTATCAGTGCCAAGCTGTTCCTTGACAAGATCCCACAGAGACAAGCTATCTTCGTAGAATTGAACTTGTTCGTCGTGTCGCTTCAATTGCTCTTCATTAAATTGGAATGGGGAGCTACCCGAAAGCCCCAAGAGCTCCCAGTTCTCAGCAATGCGTATTAAGGAGTTCCGTAGTGGAACTTAGGACCCATTCGAAGGAAGCTGGCAATGCGTGAAAGATTCCCAAAGGCATCGGTCCAGGGCCATTGCATTGAATATTGGCTTGTTGTGTGCGCGGCACGATATTTCATAGTACTTGGATTGGATCGCGAGTGTATGCTCTTTTTCAGCTGTTTCCTTTTCATCTGGACCCAGCTCATCAAAGTTGTCTGGTAACTTGGGAACGTTGGTTCCCGAACGGTAACCTTTTGGCGGTCGAAGAAACTCTGGAAACCGAGCCTGGATAAGTAGAGGTGCTGCTTCGGCTGACTGCCAATCAATTATGCCTTCTATTGTCGTGGGGTCGTCTGGACAGACGAATATGTTTCCGAGGTGCAAGTCAGTGTGCCAGACTGTCGACGTTGCCGATTCTTGAACACGTGGATGTTGCGACAGTGCTGGCAATATGAGTTGCATCTTCTGTAAGAGATCGCTGTACTCTTCGATAGACTGATTGTTGCCAAACCTAGTCAAGTCGGTATGTACATCATCACCTTTTGCTACAATTCGAGCCAATTCTCGACGTGGTGCAGAGAGCGCGAACTCCAAAAGTGATGTCCCTTGACATTGTCAGAACCTACGGAAGTATGAGGGGATGGAGTACTCACATGGCCCAGAATCTTTCCTAATTGCGCCAACAGATGCAGTGGAAGATAGATCGACTGACGAACCTATACAGAACTGCTTATTCGGGTCCAAACCTGGAGGAAGAGGGCAGCGCGGGTAGCTAGATGGCAAAGACTCCTGCAGGAAGAGACCTCCATATGCGGGCAATTGTAACCTTTGGAGCGCCTTCTCCATTTCCAAAATTTTATCGATTAATAGATACCGCTGCAATGTGTTCATGGTCTTCCATTTCTCTGCTAGTGGTACTCCGCGAGTCTTTTCCATCAGAATATACTCAGCACCTACGGGGTTTGTTGGGTCTGAAGACCAGTGGTAGACTTCAGGAACTGGAGTTGATATATGAGATCGCACTAGCCAACACAATTAGAAATTCAAGGTCCGACTGATACCCATCAAAGAGAGCATACAAAACTTCAATGTCGCCACTTCGCACTCGGTTGTCAGTACCGGCGGACCAGCGTTTAAGCAAGGAATCTTTGCTATGACTTCGTTGCCATCGTCCATCGTGAGAAGGAAAGCCTTGCTGAAGTTCCCTTCCATTTTGGCGATGCGCATACATCTTGTTTCAAAACTGAATAGCGATGCAGCTTGCGAGCAGAGATTATCGATGTTGAATCTTACATATCGTTGCTCAAGTTGGTATTTTTCATCTACCAGCCATCTCCCGGAAGTGTATCTGAAGAAATCCTCTTCATTGTCTGCCAATCGCTACTTAGTGAGTCCCCAGAGAATTGGGTCATATTCAACCCACGGTGTCGGTCAATTGCTCTTTCTGCATGAGGCACTGCGGTCTGAAAAGTGCGATTGATGAACAAATTGTATCGAGCAGCACAATCCAAGCTGATTTCACATGGCCGATATGACCGACGACGTTTTAATCCTACCTTCCACATAATTTACCGGAGCAAGGCCATTTGTTATGCGTTTGCTTGAGACCCTTGATGGATACGGAAACTCAGAAGGGGGAGGCACATGTTGACTCCTTGCTTTGATCGGCATGTAATCACGTGCCGAGGAGGACAAGCAGGGAATGTATATTATGAGACGACAACTAAGCTTCCAGAGGTTTTGTTTTAAGGTCGCTTGCTACTAAACAATGTTTTTTTTTTTTTTCGTTATTAGGAGTAACATCTATTCGCGTGTCAGCGTAACACTCTTATATTGGTCATTCAAGCTTTGACAGCAGTAATTTCTGACGATGAAGATCTATGATGCTACTAAAGGTCACAATATATTTTCTTTTATTATGTGGTCACCCAGTATCCTCCAGGCCGTCTTGAACCTTTACTTGGAATGATATTAACTTACTTGACATATACTAGTTTCTAATGATAGTGCCAGGCCTACTCTGTCAATTTATTTTATAGCAGGCTGATTAATGCAGAATGTCTCACTCATTCATCTATTTATAAGTTGTATTATACACTCAATGCCGGATAATCCGTATAACCCTTCTCCTTCGGGTCAGCTCCGTAGAATGTTGCTCGATCATACTTGTTCAACTGTGCACCTTCCATCAATCTCTTAGGCAGATCGGGGTTTGCAATAAACCACCTTCCAAAAGCCACCGCATCAGCCCCGTCCTCGACGACCTTCTGCTTTGCTCCCTCACCATCAAAGTTCCCAGCCGCAATGAACCCAATTCCAGCCTGCTTGAAGATGGCTCTGAACGGATCCAAACTGACCTTGCCCTTACCAGGCAACGAACCCATCTTGGCCCCCTCGTCCAATACCTCATCAAAGCGTGGCTCGATCATATGCGCGTATGCAATCTCAGGGGTCTCTCTGGCAATCATTTGACAGATAACCTGCCAGTTATCCTGAGGATTCGAGTCCCTCGTATCTTGGAAATAGTTATACGGCGACAAGCGCACGCCAACTTTATCCGCACCAACAGCATCACACACAGCCTTGATCGCCTCAATGACGATTCTCGCTCTCTTCTCCACGGTTCCTCCGTACTCGTCTGTACGAGTGTTAACATTATCGTGCAGAAACTGGTCGAGCATGTATCCGTTCGCAGCGTGGACCTCCACTCCATCGAAGCCGGCCTCGATGGCACGGGTGGCAGCAGCGGCGTACTCTGCCACAGTTTCCTGGATTTCAGGGATGGTCATCGCACGGGGCGGAGTAGCCGCGTATGGATCCCCGGTGAGTGCATTCCCGGTCATGGGAATGTCGCTGGATGAGAGAGGGGTTTGGCCCTCGATAAAGGCCGGTACTGTTGCGCGTCCGACGTGCCATAGTTGGCAGACGATGAGGCCGCCTTTGGCGTGGACGGCGGAGGTGACATCTTTCCAAGCGTTTATTTGGGAGGGGGTGAATATTCCAGGAACACCAGGGTAGCCTGCTGCCTGTGGAGAAAAATATTAGAGAAGTGCCAAGAGGAGTAATGTTGGTATACATACATGACGACTGATGGGGGTTGCTTCGGTGAGTTGGAGACCACCCGGTGATGCTCTTTGGCTATAGTATTCGGTCATAAGGGCGTTGGGGACATACACGCCCTCTGATTCTTGAGTAGCGCGCATCCGTGTGCATGGGGCTTGTACGACGCGATGAGAGAGGGAAAGAGACCCTAGCTTCAGGGGGTGAAAGAGGTTATCGATTGGAGTGATAGAGCCCATTTTGCAGTATGATCTATGTGATTGTCTGAATTGGTTGTTACTTTGCTATAGAATGGGTATAGCTACGGTACATATAGGATGTCTATAGACAGCGAATCCAAATTCTCTGCGTGCATGGCCTCCATCTTTGGATAATTCGTAACATCCACTCTTGACTGATCTGTCGAGATCTGTCCAGATGGGGTGATTTAGATGAGTGGAGCAATGTTGCAGATAATTAATCTGTTGTCTGATAGTCGGGCCACCCGACAAGCCAACCATAACCACTGGAAGTAATCCGATCGGCAACCCCCACCCTTGGAATGAAGCCCTCCACTCCCGACAAGTCTGGATCTCCACTCCACTTCATGCAGCGTTGCAGCTCCGATGCAGCTCTGACGCAGTGGCGCTTCTTCACAGGCTCTGCTTCTGTTTCGCTTCTGCAATGCCAGCTCAACCCCTCAACTCTGGGTAAGAAGAATGGGGCCTGATGGATGCCTTTGAGGCCCAGCTGCACGTGCACAGTAGTGCCCCTCGCAATGCAATTTTCATCCCTTGAACCTCTACCACAATGTGCTTGCCATTGTTCTCTCATTCTCTTCTCCTTATCTGCATTGTAATTATGCCATTCTAGCATCATCATGGTTCTTCCTACCGCACTGCAAGACTTCCTCACCACCGCTGCCTCCACCCCTAATCTCTCCTTCTACCTAAACGGCACCCCCATCGTCCTCGCCAACCCTAACCCCCACTGGACCCTCCTCGACTTCATCCGCTCCCAACATGGCCTGAAGGGCACCAAGCTGGGCTGCGGCGAAGGTGGGTGCGGTGCTTGCACGGTCGTGCTGCAGACCCGCGACGGGAGCGCCCAGATTCGCCATCGCGCCGTGAACGCCTGTTTGTATCCGCTGATTGGAGGTACGTGTGTTGGTTCCATGGGTGCGACCGCATCTGACAGCCGCAGTGGCCGGAAAGCATGTCATCACTGTTGAAGGACTGGGGAACGTGGATCACCCCCATCCGCTTCAGGAAAGGCTGGGGAAGCTCCATGGGTCGCAGTAAGTTGACCGTGGTCTGATGTATGAGCAATGCTGATAGGATAGATGTGGTTTCTGTACCCCGGGTATAGTTATGTCGCTATATGCGCTCGTGCGAAATGCATACGATCCCAAGACTGGACAATTCAATCTGACAGAGGATGATATTGAGATGAAGGGCCACCTGGATGGCAATCTGTGTCGGTGCACCGGATACAAGCCCATTTTGCAGGCAGCCAAGACGTTTGTCCAGGAGGATCTCCAGGCCCGGCTGGCTGTGCGCACGCGACCTTCAGAAATGGAAACTCCGATTGAGTCTGAATCGGATACATCGCGGCCGCAGTCCTGCGGACGTCCAGGCGGATGCTGTCGTGATACTCCGGGGTCGTCTTGCTCGTCTTCTTCGGATCGAGACAGCTCGCGCACCAGTATTTCGACCCCGGATACAGAACCAGAGAAGGACCTGGCTAACAGCACCGTACCACAATTCGACTTCAAGCCGTACATTCCGAACACTGAGCTTATTTACCCTCCAGCCTTGACCAAGGCTACCCCTCAGCTCGTCTGCTACACCGACGACCGGAAGGCCTGGCTGCGCCCGGTAACACTCGCCCAAACCTTGGACATTCTGGCCCGTTGCCCATCTGCTACCCTTGTCGGGGGTGCCAGCGAAGTACAAGTCGACATCCGGTTCAAAGGCGCTGAGTTCGCAGTATCCGTCTTTATCGGCGACCTTGACGAGCTGTCATACATTAGACCCGTTGAGAAAGACGGCACCATCACGGAACTCATCATCGGCGGCAACACGCCCCTCAGCGACATAGAAGCCGATTGCAACCGACTGATCCCAGACCTAGGGGATCGAGGCTCTGTCCTCTCAGCCACGTCCAAAATCTTGCGCTACTTTGCAGGACGCCAGATCCGCAACGCGGCTTCACTAGCCGGAAACATCGCCACGGCGTCGCCCATCTCGGACATGAACCCAGTGCTCCTAGCCATCAACGCCACCATCGTCGCGCGCACCCCAACCCAGGAAGCCACTATCCCCATGACCAACATGTTCCTAGGCTACCGCAAGACCGCCCTCCCCAAAGACAGCATCATCACCTCGATCCGCATTCCCCTCCCACCGCCGGGGACCCGCGAACTCACCAAGTCCTACAAACAAGCCAAGCGCAAAGACGACGATATCGCCATCGTGACCGCCGCCTTCCGCGTGCGCCTCGCCCCAGACAACACCATAAGCGAAATCGCCCTTGCCTACGGCGGCATGGCGCCGACAACCCTCCTAGCCAGACAGGCCATGGCCGCCCTACAGGGCAAGAAATGGGGCGTGCAAGCCGTTCTAGACAGCACGATCGATGCCCTCCTCGAGGACTTCAATCTCCCTTATTCTGTTCCTGGCGGAATGGCACACTACCGGCGTACACTGGCCACATCTCTCTTCTTCCGCTTCTGGCACGAAGTCATCTCCGACCTCAACCTCACCTCCACAGCCGCTGACCCATCCCTCACGACCGAAATTCACCGCAACATCTCTCACGGCACGCGCGACAACCACAACCCGCACGAACAACGTGTAGTCGGAAAACAGCTCCCTCATCTATCCGGTCTGAAGCACGCCACTGGCGAAGCTGAATACGTCGACGACATGCCCCCGCAGCATCGGGAACTCTTCGGCGCTATGGTGTTATCGCAGCGTGCCCATGCCAAGCTCCTCTCCGTGGACTGGACGCCCGCGTTGCAGCCGGGCTTGGCCCTGGGATACATAGACCATACCAGTATCCCGGCGGAGAAGAACATCTGGGGACCAGTGGTGAAGAACGAGCAGTTCTTCGCGGTGGACGAGGTGATGTCGCACGGGCAGCCGATTGGACTGGTGTATGCGGAGACGGCGCTGCAGGCGCAGATGGCGGCGAGGGCAGTGAAGGTGGAGTACGAGGATCTAGAGACGATACTTACGATCGATGAGGCGATTGAGAAGGGCAGTTTCTGGCCTCATGGGAAGCAGTTGAGGAAAGGGGTGGCTGTGACGCCGGAGAAGATGAAGGATGTTTTCGACAAATGTGATCGGGTCTTCGAAGGAGTTATCCGAATGGGTGGACAGGAGCACTTCTACCTCGAGACGAATGCCGCGGTCGTGATTCCTCATTCGGAGGACGGGAGTATGGAGGTCTGGTCGTCGACGCAGAATACGTATGTCCTTCCCTCTACCTATCACGGGATAATGCTAATCGCTGGAATAGGATGGAAACCCAAGAATACGTCAGCCAAGTGACATCCGTCCCAGCGTCGCGCATCAACGCACGAGTGAAACGCATGGGCGGCGCCTTTGGCGGCAAGGAATCCCGTAGCGTGCAACTCGCCTGTCTACTAGCCATCGCAGCTAAGAAGACCAAGCGTCCGATGCGCGCTATGCTCAACCGCGACGAAGACATGATGACTTCTGGCCAGCGACACCCCTTCCAATGCCGCTGGAAGGTAGGTGTCATGAACGACGGGAAGCTAGTCGCCCTCGACGCAGACGTATACAACAACGCGGGTTTCTCTCTGGACATGAGCGGCGCCGTGATAGACCGATGCTGCACGCACATCGAGAACTGCTATTACTTCCCGCATGCGCATATCCGCGGGTGGGTGTGCAAGACGAACACGCATAGTAATACTGCGTTCCGGGGATTCGGTGGCCCGCAGGCCATGTTCATCGCGGAGAGTTATATGTCGGCTGTTGCGGAGGGGTTGGGTATGGATATTGATGAGTTGCGGATGAAGAATCTGTATACTCAGGGGCAGAGGACGCCATTCCTGCAGGAGATCGACCAGGATTGGCACGTTCCTATGCTGCTGGAACAGGTTAAAAACGAGGCGCGGTACGCGGAGCGCAAGGCCGAGATAGCTGAGTCCAATCAGCTCCACCGCTACCGAAAGCGAGGGATATCTATGATCCCGACAAAATTTGGCATCTCCTTCGCGACAGCAGTCCATCTTAACCAAGCCGGAGCGAACGTGAAAATCTACACTGACGGCTCAGTACTTCTGAACCACGGTGGAACAGAGATGGGCCAAGGCCTGTACACAAAGATGGTGCAGGTCGCGGCGCAGGAACTGGGTGTTCCGGCTGAGAGTGTGTACACGCAGGATAGCTCGTCGTATCAGACGGCGAATGCGTCACCGACGGCTGCCTCGTCCGGGAGTGATTTGAACGGAATGGCGGTTAAGGATGCGTGCGATCAGCTGAATGGGCGGTTGAAGCCGTATCGGGAGAAGTTCGGCAAGGATGCTGATATGGCGACGATAGCGCATGCGGCGTATCGCGATCGGGTCAATTTGGCGGCGAGTGGGTTTTGGAAGATGCCTAAGGTGGGGTATCAGTGGGGGACGTATGATGAGGAGAAGGTGAAGCCGATGTATTATTATTTCACGCAGGTATGTGTTTCCCTCGGGTGTTGATAGGTGGGTGATGGTTGCTAAGGGGTGATAGGGCGTCGCGTGCACTGAAGTCGAGCTTGATCTGCTTACCGGCGACCATACTGTGCTCCGGACGGACATTAAGATGGACGTGGGAAGGTCCATTAACCCTGCTATTGACTATGGGCAGATTGAGGGTGCATTTGTCCAGGGACAGGGGCTGTTTACCATGGAGGAGACTCTTTGGACGCAGGGAGGACAGCTAGCGACAAGGGGACCGGGCACGTATAAGATTCCTGGGTTCAGTGATATCCCGCAGGAGTTCAATGTCAGTTTCCTGCAGGGTGTGTCGTGGAGTCATCTACGCTCCATCCAGAGCAGCAAGGGTATTGGAGAACCGCCGCTGTTCATGGGGTCGTCGGTGTTATTTGCCTTGAGGGAGGCGCTGAAGAGTGCGAGGGCGGATTTCGGTGTGCAAGGGCCGTTGGTTCTGGATAGTCCAGCTACGGCGGAGAAGTTGAGGCTGGCGGTTGGAGATGATTTGGTGAAGAAGGCAGAGGTGAAGAGGAAGGATGGAGAGAAGGGGTTCTTTGTTGCTGTTGCATGATGGGGTGTAGATATGTTGAGGCATGCATCAAGTACTAAATATAAACATTTTATGGAGAGTACTCCGTCTTCTCAAACATCACATCTGAAGAAGGCACTATTTCAGTGGATATATAAGGGGAGGCGCTACTGCCACACCAGCCAGGCTTCCTCCATAGCGGCCTTCGCTCATGCCACAGCCTCCATCTACCTTAGAAGGCAATGTCTGTTCCCTTTAGGGTATAGCCTTTTTCATGATACTTTCCATCATCTCCATACGGTAGTATACTTGCCTGAGGTGCTGCATTCATGCCTCAGGAACAAATCTAAAATAGCAGACGGTAGGACTCTGCCTGTTTAAAAGACCAAGCCTTATCTTAAATGAATGAAACCTTACTTTATGGGGGAAGCGAAGGCCGGTGTGGAGGAAGCCTGGCTGGCGTGGCAGTAGCGTCTCTAAGGTATCAAGTTTAGACAGGTACTTCCAAGAGTTTTCTCATTAATGGGTACGAACACGAAAATAGTATCAAGTGTTGTTGGATGCGTTTACAAGTCTCAAGTCCACATCTTTGCATCCCCAATATAGAAATATGATATTGTATTTCAGTAGTAAAGTATACACGTCATTTCCACAAGTATCCTTATAGCCTCTAATGTCTGCCATCCCTTCAGCCAGAGCAAAACACTCAACTCTAATGCAGTACTCACAACCTCGCTACCTCTACCTCCACCTTTTCGCCCACTGTTTCCCAGTTTGCGTCCACCTGAATACCATTAGCACTGCCTCCCAGGTTACGTTTAGAAGCACTTACATCCGCAATATGATCATATCCCAACAACTTCGGCGCCAAACCCGGGTCTCTCCACGCTAGCGCCTCCCCTTCAGGCGTCGGCACCATGCGCATCTTCCGATCGCGTTCCTCCTGCTCAGGCCCATCATGTAAATGATACAGATACTGCTGTTTATTTCCGCGCTCTACAACCATTTGTGTGCGCTGCTTGCGACATTTCTCAAATACAGCCAGAGCGTGACGCTTAGCGGCGATAAACTCGGGCGAGGACTTTGAGACGTTAGGGCCCGATGGGAGACGGGAGAGACATTCGCCGAGCACGGCGCCGTCTTCAAAGGCCATTCCTGCACTGATACCATTGTCAGTACTTCTGTTATTCAGTACATTGTTAGGTAGATAGGAAGTACCCAGAAGCAAGATAAGGCAGTGTAGCATGCACAGAGTCGCCTAGCATGACCCATGCCCCGGAAGGATGTGTCCAGTCGTAATCGCCGAAGCGGATGCAGAGACGCCATTTGTGCACGGATTGGCAGAGCTTGAGGAGTTTTTGGATCCTAAAAATTAGCATCGCCATCAATAGAATGTAGTGATAGAGTAATACCTCGGATCCCATCCCTCAAATAACGCACACATCTCCTGCACATTTCCCTCGACCGTCGAAGCCAACGACTCCTCCGGAATATCATCAGGCACAAGCAGCACCATATTGAACAGTTCCCCTTGTCGCAGGACATAATTCACTACCCACATTAGCCTCCCGTCCATAAATGCAGAAAAGGAATACAAACCAGCGTGCTTATCCGGCCCCAACCAATAATTGACCTGAGGATCCGTCACGAACCCCCTCAACTCCGGATCCTTCAACATCTCCTCCGTGGACAACAACAACCGATACGCCAAATCCCCCGTCTTAATGGGCGGATCGGGCCTCTTCAACATAACCTCCGTCAACTTCCCAAACACCCCATCAGCACTAACAACCAGATCCCCCCTCCACGAGCGTTCATCACTCGCCACCGCCGTTGCCATAGCCCCATTCTCATCCGGAACAATATCCACAACCCTAGCAGCGCAAGTAATCTTCGCTCCCAACTCCTCCGCCCTTTCCAGCAGACAGCGCTGTAAATCCGCGCGGTGGAAATCGCGATACCACGTGCCCGGGTACTGCTTCGCCGAGTCAACGAAACTCAAGCTGGAAATGATCTCGCCCTTCCAGTGTAGAAAGTTGCAGACGCGCGGGTGTGTCATGTGTGATGTGAGAGCGGGTTCTAGACCCCAGTGTTTGAGCACTCTTGAGCTGTTCGGGAGGACTTGGATACCGGCGCCTACTTCGCGGATCTCGTGCGTCGCTTCGAGGACGTGTACGTCGTGTCCGGCGAGGAGGCAGGAGATGGCGGTGCCGAGGCCGGCGAGGCCAGCGCCGATGATAATGATCTTTCATTGTTAGCTTGGATAGAGAAATTGGACGTATGGGGCAGTGGGATGTACCTGCAACCGACAGTTGTCGGGGAGAGAGCGCTTCTCTTTGATGTGGATAGGGGGTGCCATGGTACTAATCCTGTATACAACAGTAAGTGGTGTATGATCCAGTGGATATGTTCTACGCCATGATATAAAGCCAGTTCTAGTTCCTGCTAAGTGGTTTCTTCTGCCCCTAAAATGGGGGATAAGCATGTGCCTGACAAGAATGGGGGTCGGGCATGAGGGGATGCATCAATCTTATCATATCATTTGCGGGGAGAATAAGTACACCCTGCGGTCGGGGCAAACACCTTCCAGCAATCACCAGCAGATCCATCCCAGTATTACGTCCATTATGTCTCGAGTAAGCTGATCTCAGTCCCTCCAGGACAATTTTTAGCAGAGAACTAACAGCCCAGTTCTCCCTCCAAGGTCGAACCGCCCTCGTCACCGGCGGTGCCCGGGGCTGCGGTCTTGCCTTTGCGCGCGGTCTCGCCCAAGCAGGTGCCAACGTAGCCATCTTCGACCGGATACCTCCTGAGGAGGGGTTTCTATCTATCGAGAAGGAGTATGGTGTGCGGACTGCATATTACGAGTATTCCTCCCACCCTCTGGGTTCTGCACCTCGCACCACAGCCCCTAACGGATTGCTACAGAGTGGACGTATCCTCCCCCGAGTCCCTCGCCACCGGCTTCGGCGCCTTCCAAACAGACTTCAACAATGCACTAGACATCTGCGTCCCTTGCGCAGGTATTAACCGACACCAGACATTCCTTGAATTCAATTACGCCGACCATCAAGAGCTGCTGGGTGTGAATGTGCTAGGCCTATTCCATACAGCCCAGCTGGCGGCACGGCAGATGATTGCCAATGGCACAAAACACGGGAGTATCGTGCTGGTGGCGAGTATGGCGAGCCACGTGGCGGTACGGAGCCAGCTGTGCAGTGCGTATTGTGGGAGTAAGGGGGCGGTGAGGGCAATGTGTCCTGCTATTGCGAAGGAGTTGGCTGAATATGTATGTCCCTGCTCTTTTGGTGGCGTTCATACAGGTGAGGGATGGCTAATGATGGTAGGGTATCCGCGTGAATTCGATTTCACCGGGATATGTAAGGACGGAGATGACTGCTGCTGTGAGTTCCATTTTATCTCCTAGGGATCGGAATTCCCTAATAAAAGTGATGACAGTTCCCCCATTTGATCGAAGAATGGAAATCAGCAGCGATGAACGGCCGCATCGCCGAGCCGGAGGATATCATGGGAGCGTGTGTGTTTCTGGCGAGCGATGCAAGTTCGTACATGACGGGGCAGGATGTGATCGTGGATGGGGGGGTGACTAAGTGGTAGCATTATCATAATTGCAGTTTAACGATTAGGCAATCAATACAGACTGATAATACATCCTATCACGCAATCAGTCATAATCATACTCAATCAATCTATCAAAAGGGTAGCTATCCCCGCATAAGCTACATTGTATCCACGCCCAAAAGTGGGGTTATCAGCTCAGTCGGCGATCGCTCCGAACCCCATCACCGACTAGCTAGCTACCAACTATAACAATACTCATCCAGAAGCAAGTATGAGCGTAGCATCACATTTCCAAACGAAAATTACATCTCAAACAATGTCTCCCAGCGCCATCAACGAGGGCTTTCCCAGTCCGTCAACCATACCCACCACAACAGTGGTGGTAGTGGGCGCTGGCCCCTCAGGCCTAATGCTAACGTACCTCCCCCACTCACCATCCCCACCAAAGAAATTCCCCCAACTAACTGATAATGATGTGGATAGAAACAACCTCATCCGCTACGGCACACCCGTGACTCTCCTCGACGACCGCCCGACAGCAACATCAACCGGCAAAGCAGACGGTCTGCAGCCGAAGACCATCGAGACGCTGAAACAACTGAGGCTATCGGATGAGCTGCTCCGCAATGGGGCCAAGGTGTATGATATTTGTTTCTGGGTATTCCTATCCCTATCCCTTACCCCCATATCACAACCCCCAAGATATGAATTATACTAATGACAATATGAATGATAATCTAGGAATCCACCCCCCAATCCCCAACCCTCACCCGCACATCCCGCCAAACGCACTACCCCGAGCACCTCGTCGGCGCCTCAGACCCCTACATTCTCCTCGCACACCAGGGCATGCTCGAGGACGTGCTTATCAAAGATATAGAAGAGCGCGGGGGAAATGTTCAGCGAAACAGCCCATTCGTGTCTGTGTCTAAAACACAAGACGGGAGTGGATTGCTAGAAGTGATCTACAACGACAACACAACAAACACGAAAAAGATTATTCGTACGAAATACCTCGTTGGATGCGATGGTGCGAGATCCAAGGTTCGGGACTTTATTCCTGGCGCGCAGTTGGAGGGGGAAATGAGTAATGCTTCTTGGGGGGTGTTGGATGGTATTAGTCCACTTCATTTTTCCTTTTCCTCACTCTCAACTGGTTGGTAGATGTTAACTGATATGAATAGGAGTCATCGACACCGACTTCCCCGACCTATGGAGTAAGGTGGCTGTTCGCTCGCACACGGCGGGATCAATTCTCTGGATTCCTAGGGAGCGCGGAATGACGAGACTGTATGTTGAACTTAGTTCCACGGACGGGGAGAGGGTCGATAGGGCCAAGGCGACGCCAGAGTACGTCATGGCTAGGGCGCGAGAGGCGATGCAGCCTTTCCGGTTGGAGTGGAAGGAAATTGGTATCCCCTGCCCCAAAATGCCCCCTCTCTACTCCGGAAAACAGATTGTTAATTCGTATAGAATGGTTCGGCAACTACGTCGTCGGACAACGCGTCGCTCGCCGATTCAGCGACCCCGAGAACCAGATCTTCATTGCCGGCGATGTACATCCCCCCTCCTTCCCCCTTCTATTTTTTATTTCTCATCAGTTTACTGATAATGGACAGGCCGGCCACGTGCACTCCGCCCTCGCAGCCCAAGGCGCCAACACCAGCATGCACGACAGCGTGAACCTAGCGTGGAAATTGAACCTTGTAGCCCGAAACCTCGCCCCAGCATCCCTACTAAACACCTACTCCGATGAACGACGAAAGATCGCCAACGACCTGATTGCCTTTGATGCAGGGCACGTCGCGGCGTTCGAGAAAGGCGAGGCGGCACTTGCTCGAAACTTCGAGGAGAATATCCGGTTTATCTCAGGCGTCGGGGCTGAGTATGACGCTGGTGTTCTTACGAAGTCAGCTGATGGTAAAGTGAAAGGTGGAATTCAGGCGGGCACATTGACTCGTCCTGCGAAAGTGACGAGGTATATTGATGCTAATTTGGTGGATCTGCAACTTGATATCCCGATGATGGGACAGTTCAGGGTGGTTTTGTTTGTGGGGGATGTGGTTGGTGGGAAGGGGTTTTTGCAAGGGTTTTGTGGAGAGGATGCGTTGGAGGGGGTGAATGGGGTGGCAAGGGAGTCGTATAAGAAGTGTCCTCGGGGGGTTAGTGATGGGGATAAGTATTTCCCGTTGGAGAGGTATACGACTGTCTCGGAGGTGGTGACGTACGGGTTAGTGACGAGGAGTCATAAGAGAGAGTTTGAGCTGGGGGATTTGCCCGAGTTGCTGCAGAAGAGTCGGTGGACGGTGTATTTGGATGATGTGGAGGGTGGGAAGGGGTGTACTGGGAAGTGGATGGGGGAGATGGAGAGGGATCAGGTCGGGGTGATGGTTGTCAGGCCGGATGGGTATGTTGGGGCGAAGGGGGTGTGGGGATGGAGTGAGGGAGAAGGATCGAGAGCGGCGGAGTGGGTGGGGGAGTATCTGGCTATGGGGAAGTAGGTTCATAGATGGGTGATTCAGACGCGTGTTGATATTCTACCTGTTTAGATTTCTTAAGTCATAAGACAGACAATGTAAAGATGAAGGAATTTCATCAACTACATCGTCAGATCAAATGATGATAAAATGATCTAGAACACATTCTACGTTAAGATGTTCACATAGTAGTCTTAATAGGACCAGCCTTATATTAAGTATCTAGTCAATGTCACCACCACGACGTTCAGTATTCCGTCTGATGCACCATACATGCCAATCATTCATGCAAAAAGCACAAAACAAAGGAGAGTTCAATGAGTGACGAGGGTCAGATGCAGATGCAATGAAACATAAGGCATAAACCAGAATCAAACACAAACACAACAAGAAGGACACGCTATATCATCAGTCTGATACAATACATAATCCACCAAGCATATCACATAAGAAACGTCGCGAAAAACCAAACAAATCACATAAAGTCATCAATCAAACAGGAAACTTCACCCCGGTTCGATCCGTACACCTAGGCTGCGACAACACCCTAGGCAAGGCCCTGGCCTTAGGATCCTGGTTAAATCTCAAGCGATCACGCTTCAGATTAAATAGCCTGACCATGCAACTCATCGCCTGCTCCTCGGACAACTGCATCGCCGGCAGAGCACTGACACTGCTGCTATTATCCAGCGGCAGATCCTTGATACACGCCGCGACCATCCAGCGCACCAACACCTCCACATCCCGAGCATTGCTCCAGCAAGGGAACATCGACAGGATCTGAATGGCGCGGGTGAATTCGCGATGGCTAGGCGCGCGCGGGTCCGTCAGGTACAACCGGGGACCCTTGATCTGCTGCTCATCCAGCTTGCGATCCAGCAGACGGAGACATTCGCGTGGCGTCGGGTTGCGGAAGACAATCTCTTCCTGGAACAGGGCAGACAGGCGTGGCCGGTTGGCCAGCAACTGGTCCATCTCCTGGGCCGGTCCGGCCAGAATCACCACCATGGTGGAGGCGTACTTGGGCAGCAGGTAGACTAGCTCGTCCACGGCCTGCGTGGTGTCGGTGTCGGCTAGTCGGTGGGCGTCTTCGATGAAGAGGACCTTGCCCTTATTTTGGTCGAGTTGCGACCGGGACCGCACCGAGGTCGGGTGGACGTTGGGTGCTAGTAGGTCGGCGACCGAGCATGGCACCAGGGCACCATCGCTGAGAGCGCCCATTTTGTAGTACAGAGTTCCTAGCTGACGGGCGACGGTCTTCTTACCGGTGCCTATAATATTGTTAGTTATTTGTGTGGAAATGGACGGAACGGAATGTATTACCTGGTGCACCCTTGAATACAAATGCAGCGGGCATGCGTGCGCCCGGATCCAGCCCCTGCAGCCACGCGGCCTTCATCTCGTTGTGATACCGCTTCAAGATGGAGATGATGTCGTCCGGCACGATGGAGTGGCGCAGCTCTTCACGGAAGACCAGCGCCGTCGTGCCGCCCACCAGCTCCGGGTTAAAGTCGCGTCCCTCGAGGAGACGTTCCACCGGCTGGGCGCTGGCGCCGGTGCGCGACCGACGCTCAAAGTGATAGATGGCCGCAGCGAGGAGATGCTCGACGGCGCGAGCATTGTCAAAGTCCTTGCGCATACGGGCATTGTCGAGGGTGTCCATGGCGGCCTGGAAGGCCTCCGGGGTGGCATCGAGATCCTGCTCGTCGAGCTTGCTTTGGAAGAGCTCTTCCATGTGCTCGCGCGTCAACGCAGAGAAGCGCACCAGATGTGTCTCAAACCCGCGGGCTTTGGGACCCGCGCGATGCAGGAACTGGCTGATGCTGTCGTGCGTACCGACCAGGATGGTGCAGTGATTGTCGCGCGGCGCTGCGAGGATGTCGACGACCGTGTCCGGCACGGTCGGGCGCTCCTGGCGATCGGTGTCGACGTCGACAACGAGGACATTGCCGATCGTCGACTCGACGGTCGCACGGAGTTGGTCTTCCGGCAGATCACAGAGAGCCGACAGGGGTTTGACACGGACTACACTCGTTAGCAGTTTTTCTATACTAGTGTTGTGCGGGTACTCACCTTCTCCGTTGTTCAACACTCCCAAGTCCACCAGAATCTGGGCGTACATTCGGATGGCCGTGCTCTTGCCGGTGCCTGGAGGCCCCGCAAAGATGCGATTAACCCGCAGCGGCAGACGACGCTGGTTGCGGATCTCGCGGTAGTAGTTCTCCTCGGTCGTGTCGAAAACTTCAGCCACCGAGGCCTTGACGGCGTCCTGACCGATCAGCTTCTGCATGGCTTCCCAGGCTTCGCTGGTCGACCGGGTCTCCGCCGGGCTGGGGCCGAGAACATCGTCCTTGGAAAAGAAGAAGTAGTCCACCTCGTCCATGCCGCTGTCCTGCTGGTCAGTCAAGCACTGGGCCTGACGCTGAGCAATGCTCTTGACCATCTCGCGCACGGCATGGGCGTTGGTGAACCCCTTATCGGCACGCCCCCGGACCAGCCGGCGAGCTGCAGCCTGCATGTAGGTGCCCTCGAGACCCCCCTCGACCTGCATGCGACCGTTATATTCGGTGATGATGCGGCGGGCCAGCAGCTGCGTCAACTGCTGGCGGTCAAAGTCGTTGAATCGCAGCGAGCTGCAGATCCGTTGCTGGAGGGCGGGGTTCTCGCGCAAGAAGCTATTCATCTCGTCGGCGTCGCCAGTGAAGATGACAATGATGCGACCGATGTTGCGCTCCATCGCGTGCCGGATATCCTCGAGAGCCTGCTCGGTAGCCGGGGTCTGGGGCGCGTCCATCAGGGTGTGGGGATGGTCGACGATGAGCACTCCGGCGGTTTGCACCGGAGCTTTGGCGTCCGTCATGTTGCGCAGCAGTTGCTGCACTCCGTCGGGACCCCGGCTAGCCAGATCGGCGCCAGTGGTCTCACAGACGGTATGGGAATCACAGATACCCATGGCGTACAGCATCTTGGCGTAGATGCGGGCGACGGTGGTCTTGCCTGTGCCGGGATTGCCCAGGAAGGCGATGTTGTACCACTCGCTCTTCGGGTCGCGTCCATGGCGACGGCAAATCTGCACCCAGGTCTGGACGCCGTGCAGCTGGCGTTTGACGTTGTCGTGGCCGACCAGACTGTCCAGCTCCTGGACTGCCTCTTCACGGGCCGTTTCACGATTTTGACGGTCGCGCTCGGCCAGTTCCTCTGCTGTCGGCTGGGGAGGGACCGGAGTCCGAGGCAAACTCTCGGGCTGTCGTTGCGATTGTGTTTCGGGCTCTGATCGGGCAGGAGCCTGAATCTGTGTCTGGGATTGTGCCATGATGCGTGGCGAGGTCTGCGCCGGAGTCTGTGTCGACGCGGTGGATTGCTGCGGTCGCTTGGAGGACCACAGCGAAAAGGGGAAGAAGGGGAACCGCGATGTCGATGACGGCCGGGTCATCGAGCAGTCCATGTTGCTGCGAAACGGATAGACAAACAGTCGTGCAAGGAGAGGCCCGACAATCGGGAGCATGAAGGGATGAAAGATGAAAGACTTGGTCATTCACAGGGGAGTAAAGCAGCAGATGGTCATGAGGGGGATTGCAGTGTTGGAAAATCTCCTGGAGCCAGCGTCCTCATGGCCATATTTATCAGCCATGTCGGCTGGGCAGCAGAAATCCCCGAGAAGTGGAAGTGAAGCAGTCCGGCAGTCATGGAAGGGAAGTTCAGTCAGACACCATTCTTTCCGGACTGCCTATGACGGGGCGACAGGTAGTGTGTGGCCGGAAGCCAGCCATGGTTGGTCGTTTCCGGGTTTGGACGAAAAGTGAAGCCATTCACCGCCACTTGTGCAGCCCAACGGCCAGGCAAAGCATCCTGTCATCGGGACGAGCTTGTTCGAGTGGAGCTGATCTGGGGGAATGATGGCTGGTGTCCTGGAGAGACATGATCCAAGTGTCGCGAATCGACCTTGCTGAAACACGAAACATGAAACAATGAAGAAGCAGTATGGAGACCAGGGGACGCCCTGGCCAAAGGGCAGGCATCCATGTCGATTGGGAGGGGATGCTACTATCGTGATGCGGTAGATTGACAGCCAGCAGGTCAAGCTGCAGGGCTGCAATGGAACCAGTCGAGATAGAGAATAGGGTAAATGCAGACTAGTTGCTGATCTGGCGCATTGGCAGCCTATCAGTTCCCTGGCCAACTCACCCGCTGAGCCACTTTGAGCTGTCGCCTCGTCCGACTTTCCCAAATCAATTCTTCCCTGCATTTCTGACTATTCCTCCGGCTTATACTTATGATGGGTCTCTCTCCGCCTGCGGGCCATCTTCCACCTTCGTGTTCTCCTCTCTTGCCTGGCTTTCTTGCTCCAGGCACCAGATAGACTAGAAACAGCCTGTGGAATGCGGTGCGGAGCACGTCTAACGTCATTGCTCCGGTCTCTCCTGTGACTCACTCGAAGAGATGCTCCTCCTCGCTGCTGAACAACATGTGATGCGAGAATAAACCCTGAGTCTATCGCGGTTGCCGCTGCCTCAGGCTATCGATAGAATGGAGTGATGGACAACCCGATCAGGCCCAACTGGTCCAACCTCTCTCAATGCGGCCTAATCGAGTGAACAACTGGCTCGCCTTGTCATCGTCAATGGGCTCAGCTTACTTGGAGCATCCACCTTGCTGAAAATAGACGACGCTATTCATAATCCATAATCCGGTTTTGCCTTGCGATCGCACCCGAGATACCCAAATCATACCTGAGGCACCAAGGCACAAAATCAGGGTGTGCTCGACTTGGGGCTTCCTGGGCAGTCAACGACGAGGCGTGTGGCTTCTATCAAATCGGACTAGCATTGGCCTTCATCTCTCGATTCGAGGTACAAATCTCGTCAGATTGCGATCCAAGTCCCCTTAGTGCAAATGCGCACGCGACACCGTAATCTCGACTCGACATCTCTCCCCCTGCTCCGAGTCACCCTCACCACCCGCGGCTCACACAACCATCTTTTCACGGTCGCATTCACCAGCTGCATCATCTTCTCGCTTCACAG